AGAACACACAGAGCCAAACAAGAGATCAGGGAAGGCTTCTTCCATGTGGGTTTTGTTGTTTCTCAGTTAGATGGCCCCTTGTTTATCTTCCAGCATGTGGGAACCCAGATTCTACGTCATTTGACAGCTTGGCACCATCAGCTTTCTTCACCTTGCTTATGTACCCGCTTTGTCTTTCAATTAACCCCACATGTGTTTATCAGCTAGGTTGGCACAATAAACTAACTTACCCTACAACTAAACCCAGCTCAAACTCACTGCCACCAAGTCATTTCCAACTCATGGCGACTCTAATTAGGAGAGGGAAGAGCGGTCTCTGTGGGTTTCTGACCCTGGAACTCTTTACAGGAGTAGACAGTCTCGTGTTTCTCCCAGGAAGCAGCTGGTGGTTTCAAACCTCCCGATTCGTGGCACAATTCTAGGGTCCTGTGGTTCTTGAACTTGGGTGTGCATCAGAGTCACCAGAAGGGTTTGTTAAAACCCAGATCGCTGGGCTCACCCGCAGAATGATGGGTCTAGAAGGGCTGGAGTCGGGCTGAGAATGAAAGTTCTGACTGAAAGGAACGTGCCATTCTGTCAGGTTTCCAGGTGGCGCTGATGCCACTGACTGGGGACCACACGATGAGAGCCACTTTCAACAGCAAAGGCCTCCTCTGTTCTGTCTCTGCCGCTGGAATGTGTCGACTGAGTGTATCCTGACACGGGATGACCTAGAGGTCTTCGTATGAAGTGAAGGGTCTGCCTATTGCTTGTTCAGGAAAAATGAAAGAAATGGTGCTGGTGGTAGAGAATTGAACAGGAGGGACTATGAGGATGGAAAAGGCCAAGCTCCCGCTGACCCTGAAAGACTTGACCGCTGTGGCACACTGAATTACGCGGGATATGGCTCGTCCAGCCCCGATCTTTGTAACTCCCACCGAAAGGTGGCGTGGAACCAGACAAATCAGACACATGGAAATCTGGATATAAAACGAGTCATCTCAGAAGCAGAAACTGGGGAATATCTCACTACCATCCAGAAAGAATCTTCAGCAGTGGAACATGTCCTTTGGACCCTAAGATTCCCAAGAGCTGAACTGCTTCAATCCAGAATACAGAAATATGATGACAGAAGAACAGCGGAGAAATGGTGGCAGCAGAGGTGACATACCAAGAGCCAGGGCGCAACACAGAGCAACAGGCTCCCCTGCCCACAGAGCAAGAGGGGGTGCCGCCAGGCACTTACTTGGGAGAGCTGGGTATGGTGGCCTACAGAGCTAGAGCTGAGTGCCCTCCAGCTGAGCTTTATGGCTGCGTGGCATGCCCTTTGGGCACTTTATCAGCAGTGCTAAAGAGATGTTTTTAAAAACACTTACCTAGGCAGGGCAAAGACCAAGGGGACATGTGAATAAGAGACCAAGGACTACAGAGAGGCGTGTGTGTGTGTGTGTGTGCACAGCTGAGCAGAGGCTGTCCTGACTGGAAGAACTATATCCTGAGGATTTCTGACCCTGAATTGTAACCTGCTAACTCTTCTCTAATAGACATTGTAATCATGAATGTGGTATGTGAGTTCTATGATGCCATTGCAGTGATTTTTTTAATCTGCCAGAAGAGCGGAGAGTGCAATTGCTGAAGAGGGTTGGAGGGTGGAGGCATGTTTGAACTCTACTTCATGGGAACCAGCCTGGGGCTGATGCTGTGCCTGCTTCTTCTTCCCCCGTGTGAAACCAGAGGGAGCAGCGGCCGCCCCTACACCTTTTCTCCAGCCATAGAGCCTGGCATAGTTGCTTTATAGGGAAGGTGAGAAGGGAGAGGCCTGGGACTGATGGGGCTACAGGTGTAGCACATGGACAGACCATCTGCCTGGCCATCCCACATGGCTGTTTGTTAACAGCTCATGCAGGCATTGCTTTCTGCGGCAAACAGTGGGCAGCTGCTGTGTGTCAAGCCAGTAGTCGGGAATGCTATGGTGCTATGGACTCGGCAGTGGA